TATTCCATTAGAAATCATGGCTTAGTCCTTTCATAATGTAATCACAGTTGATCTGTATGAAGGAGAAGCACCAATACACAAACTCCCATAGTTTAAAAAGCAATAAATACAATGTGAAATTAATTAGATAATGGTCAGATTTCTTTCCAATCTCCTGGTCTTTCTAGCATGTATAGAAACTGAGGGAGAAATTCAAACCCACTAATGTTTAGAACCCCATGCACTGATTTTTGGCATTACAGTAGCAAATTCATGTCTTTATGCAGTGTATTTTATGAGCAGCCTACCAATATTTCTAATGAGTTCTAATTTATTATCTGTGTTCATATGGAAACAAATGAGCTGGGGTATGCTAGCAAACAGATACCCAGCTGGTGAAGTGACAAACACTTGTTGCCATAGAGGAAGGGCTGAGAAATCCAGCAGGAAACAGTCTACTGATAGCATGTTTGGAAAGCCTTTAATTAAATTTTCCTAATTGTATCAATTAATGGGAGGATATGAACAAGGTTAACTACAGGTTTTACAGTACTTTAAGAGTTAGTGCAGAAAGAACCTTTTTTTTTGGTCGGTAGCTATCCCTGCGAAAGGTAACATTAATGGAAGATTGACCTGGCCAATGTACTTACCTTGGTGCATACTGTGTATAGGAAGGCAGTGCATAATGTCCTTTCTTGTAGTGCATTGTATTTCTGCTAGTAATATTGTTCAAATTTTGATCTATACAGACCAGTTTTCCTGAAAAATGTTTACACTGAGGTTCAGTTCTGAGTGGATGCTTTTTAACTTTTATTCAGCAATCCAGTGAAAAGTACAAAAGTGACATCTCTGTGAGATGGAGAGATAAAACACTGATAGTGCTTCCAGTGGGCATCGTGGGAAGCATTCACTCAGTACAGAGGACTTTGTAACAAGTAATTCTGTAGTAACAATTCTTTGTTGGTTCATTTTCTGAATATAGGAACTCACTGATGAATATGTGACTGTTTCTTGCCAAAATAGTATGAAATATAATTACTTGATCATTTCATCTGTGTGAGAAAAGAGCTACAACTTTTAAAAGCCTCTTCAAGGTTCCCACTAAGTGCAGTCCCAATTTTCATTCACACACAGACCTCCTGAATTTTTTTTTCCTAAATGAAGGAACTGAAGATTTAAAAAAAATGGGATAGTTCTAAGATACTGTCTCTTGCTGTCTGAAAGCAACAGCTTTTACACCAGGGAAGGGACAGAACAAGAATTTAAAGAGTTTTGAAATTTTTAAGGTTGGAAGGGAAGGTGTCAGAGTGAATCAACTACAAATCAGTGTTTGAGAAATGCTTCCTCCCCTGAAACAGCAACAAAGAAGACAAACTGAGGGCAGACTTAGTTCCAGGCAATTTATAGGAATTGCTTGTGTACCCTGACCCTCACAATTTCAGCACTGAATTGTAAATTGTATATGCAACCACCTGAATGAAACCCAGAATTTTGAACCTGTGAGTAACCTACTGTAAAAATATCCCTTGCAATAGTGCCCTGAGGGGAAATACACAAGTGATTCAGGAAATACAGCTACGATAAATGCTTTGGGATATTTTCAGACTAGTTACATGCATATTCCTGAACTGCGGAGGTTGTGTAACTTCAGCTTAAACTCTATGAATATGGGTCAGTCTGGGGACATTTCTTGTAGAGTTTAAGCTGCCACATAATTTCCTTAAGGTGAAGAATAAGATTGTGTTCTTGTTGGGAAAGGTGAAGGTTCCGCGCGGGGAAGCAAGCGGCCGACTCCGTGTGGGTGATACAGCAAGCTCCATCTTTATTGTCCGACAGGCTCTTTTTTATACAGTGCAGAAGCAGGCGTACAATTATCCATCACTTTTAATTGGCTAGGCTCTAAAGATGGCATTCAGGTACTCCCCTTACAGCTGCAGCTGTGAGGCTTATCTCCTGCTTTCCCAGGCTTGGGTGCATTCCTAGCTGTTTTTCTCGAACCTGTTTGTTTCACCCTCAAGGACGAGTTACCCCTGCCATCTGCCATCTGCCCAGCTGAGTTACTCCCTATCTATATATAAGTTACTATCTTCAGAGCCTTGCTTGTACACACTGCATTCCCAGGTGCGTTCCCAGGACTGTGTCTGTACGTTCCCAAGGGACTGCGGCCTAGCTCTTTTTGGCCTTCCCCAGGATTATATCCCTGCTCTCTTAGCCATTCTCCAACATGTTCTCAGGGTGGATTTTGCTGCCAGGCTTTCACAACAGGCAATGGGACTTGAGCACAAAGAAATGGTCTGAGGATGGTCCACAAGCTGAGGTAACCAACTAGAACTGGGTGCCACCATCCAGGAAGCTTTCCAGACCAGAAGTTTTTACGCTGGATTGTCCCTTCAGTCAGAGCGGAAATGCAAAAATGGATTGTATGGGATAGAACGGCTTGGTGGGCACCTGGTGTCCAGCCAAGGTCAGCCCAGCACAGTGTGGCTTGGCCTTGCCCTCACAGAGGATGTGCACTGTTCATTCAACTGCTTAGCAGAAATATATTTAGGGGTTCTTCATACCCATGAAAAGGAAGACAAGAAACTTGTCCATCAGCTGGCAATAGCCATCAACTGCTACTGTTGTCTTTTTAACATCATGAGTGGCCTAAATATAAGAGGGAAGTTTGCTGCAGAAAAAACGTCCTCACTGCTAAGCACCGAGAATGTGCAGATAACTTGTTTCTTTAGTGTATACACAAAGCTATAATAAATCAGAAGCAACTTCTGAACCATGATCTCATTCTCAGGCTGGGAAACCAAGTGTCAGGACCAACATCTTTAAGGAATTTGAAGAACCTGTTCTTTAGGAGAATGCTAACAAGACACCATTTTCATCATGATTAAATCTTTATAATAGTATTATTCCATGAGCCAGAAATGCCTTTTTTTTTTCACTTAAAAGCATAAACTAAAGGAAGTAGGATAGAATGTGATCATAAGTAGCTTCCATTAGCATTTGGTAAAGAAGATTTCCTGCCATGCTTGCTTGAGAGCATTTATCCCAATAAATGCCAACTAGACAATTTCTGAGGGTGAAAGCCTGATTCATTCTAACAGGGCTGTGGATCAGGTGTGGATCTGTCACAAGCCACAGTAGTGGAAGAATTTCCAAAGGACTAATTGGTTAGTCATCCATCACTCCTGGAGCATTTCATTGTAACCCACTTACAAGTTATAAAACAAGTGAGAATAAGATCAGTAATTAATATCTTGCACTTTCGTTCTATGAGGAAAATAGTGCAAATATCAACTAATATCAGTGCCAGTCCTAAATTGAATCAAACAATAGATATATATATTACATTTTGGACTTGTGTAACAGTCATTAAAGTTAGATAATGTTAGACTCTGAGAAGGAAAGCATTGATTTTTAGCTAGGTCTTGTGCTCCATACTGAATAGTCAGTTTGAGGAAGAGTGAAAGATTACAGATTTAGCTCCGAAAGTTCAATTATTTCAGCAGTTGTGTGCAGAAGTCTAGTTTGGGAAGAAGGGAAGAGTTATTTCAGTAGTAGCAGTAGTAGTAGTTTTGGAGCAAAAAAATATTTAATGCAAGCATTGCAGAGATGGAAAGAGAGAAGCTTTTCTGTAGAGGCCTCTGCAAACATTCATGCAATTTAGAAAAGATTACAGTATTTTGATCACAAATTTGACAATCTTGAAAATAGATTATAACCTTCAAACCACATCATAAGCAAAGATTGCTGCAGAAGTTCAAAGGCAAAACATTGTTGGATTTATAACCAAGTGATTATTTAAAAGCTGGGAAGAAAATGACTTTATATTTCAATGAGCTCAGACAGATTGCCTCAGCCAAAACCCACGAGAAATACCCAGTAAAGGAAGTGCCATTACATGTGCTGAGAATCCCGGAAGATTCTCCTGCCAAGAGGATTCATTCATTCATTTACTTCCCAGAAATCAGCTTTCCAGACATTAAATAAAAAACTTATTAAAAATCCACTGAAGCTAATAAAGTACTTCCCAATGATGTTTTTGAGCTTTGAATTGACTGAGAGAAAGAATAATTATCTTGGGAGATTTACTATAAACAACTGTACTCATAATTTATCGTTGTCTCAAAACTGCTCTTTTCAACATGTCAAGGGACTGAATACCACTAACTTAATTTGATGGAAACAAAAGTAAATGTAAACAATTATTTTCCTTATTTTACAATTCCAACTAGTTTTAGGGAAGATACTTGACAAAAAGGCCCTAAATTTTCACATCTAGCCATACAGAGATTTCTCCACTATGGAGAAGATGACAAATGGCAGGAGGCATTATATTCAGGTCTGTGATGTTGTACCACTTGAGTAGATGTGCTGGGAGGATTGCTTCATGGCTCCCATGAAACTCTATCCCTTTTTGACCCTGAAAAATTGTCCAGATTAAACTCATGGGTACTTTTGATGAATAGTGTCAGATTTGATTCTGGTTTTTGTTGAAGCTGGTTTTGCTGGGTTTGAACCTAATTTATTAAATACAGTATTAGCAAGTAAGAGAAGTGCACAAACTGATCACCTCACTTTCATCTGTGAGGGCTCCCAAGTACTGCCACCTTCATACCTGATTTCCAGTAGGAGATCTGGTGGTAGCCATCACTGAAGTGTTCATTTCTGCCCAAGTGGCCAAACTGGAGTGTTTTAATTGAGACAGATGATACATTACGGACAATGATTGTTGTGAATTTGGTTCCTTTTCTGGTACATTGTTTTCTGAATGCTTTCAAAGAATTGTTTTTTTGGGGCCATCTCCTCAGCTGATCACGGTCAACAGTGATCCCTGAAGGTGTTGATGATAAGTTAGTAGATATCAGCTAAGGATCGTTACTCAGGGTTTCTTTAGATGCTACATAATCCTGTTAACTCATTTTTTCCTTGGGACTAAATGGGCTCTACCTCTTCCAAAGAGACATTTCTGGACTGTGTTTTACAGGGTTTTTTTATAACCCTCTGTTGTTTGTTTTTTTCCCTAGGCTTTTGAAAAAAGAAGAGCATTTTATTTTTATCCCTCGTTCCCGTGAAGAGCTTCCAGAAAACTTTCCAAAGGAAATTCCTGGGATCTGTTACTTCCTTGAGGTCAGAAGTGGTCAGAAGCCACCAAAACCTTCCGTCACGTCTGCCAGAGTGAGAAAAGTTTCTTACAACATTGGAACCATGTTCCTCCGGGAAACTAGCCTATGAGGCCTGCTGCAGATCAAGGACTCGTCAAAAAAGCACAAGCCCAGAACTGGGTCATGACAGGGGAGTTGGAGGTTCTTTCTATTTCGCTGCCTTGTCCTTAACAGGCAGTAAAAGCTCCATGTAATGTCAGGCAATAATAATTTCAAAAGGTGGGTGGCTGCTGTCAGTAAATAAAGTGGAGATAGGGAAAAAGGTATTAAACAATGTACTTCCACTTCCAGAGGAATTTCTTTCATAAACTTCAGTCTGGCCCCTCTATGGCAAACAAAACAAAACAATGCCCCAACTCTCAAATTAGAGGTTGGTTTTGTTTTGTGCAGAAAGGATGATGGTTCTCTGTAGATTTGCACCAGCTAAGCAGAATTGAGAGTCAGTTCTGATTATGCATTCCTACATTTAATATGTTCTTCAGTAAGGTAATGATGTTTTTTAACTTTATGAACAAGCATTTCATACATATACTGTAGAGCTGTTGTAACCTTCCTGGCAGGAGGACTTATGATTCAATACAAAAATTGTAGGAATTTTACCTATTTTTATACATATTTCACTTTCTGGATAACTGCATTCCACTTACTGTAAGCTGAGTGATCTTACATAGCTTTTCAGAAGAAGATACTGTATATTTCATACATTTTACCTATCAAACCTTATTGTTATATAAGTGGGAAGAAGGCATTTATTGACTTTTTTGGCAACAAAAATATCAACATTTAAAAAACCAAAATAACCCTCTTTGGTAAATCTCTTTACCTGATGTTTATGCTAAAGTTTTAGATGAGCATTGTCTTCTTATTTAAAAAATGTTCAGTATTTGTTCCACAGTGCTGTATGTCCAGTCCTTCTAGGACAATGAAAACAAAGTGCATAAGATCAATGTGTGAACAAACAGAAAAGTTCTCTTCAGTGGGACTTTTTTCCCCTGTAAATTATCAGCCAACCTGATTTTTAGTAGAAGCCCTGAACTTTTTAAAAATCTTTGGCCTTGTGAAAACTTATTCTGAGGAATTCAGCAGATGCTGGAAGCTCTCTGGATCCTGTTTTTCCAAATCTTTTTAATAGGACTTGTGCTCCTCGTCCAGTTTGATTATTGAAAATCCAATCTGTTAGTAATTATTGCTTGTTTGAAAATTTCTTCTGTTGCTGGATTGGCTGGAAGGTCCCCTGCTTTATCTAATGAAGATCAAAAAAACACTGACAATGAGAAGCCAATACTTTCCCAGGTTTAATGCAAATGGCAGTTCAAGATTTAGATTAGTCCATGTCAATTTTCAAAGAAAGGCCAATTCTTTGCTGTTGAAAATTAATATAGTAGTATTGTCTTTAATTAATGCAGTTGAAGCAAGATATATATCTGTCCCTTAATAGGCACATTTTCAGGCATTGTTTATTTCTCAGGTTTTCCTTTTCACAAATAGCAGTCAGTTTTCCTCTGCAGGTGTCCTGCCTTTGAGGTTGTACTGAAGTGGGCCCATGTTGTTCTGCACTTGCAGATTGTTAGGTAAAACTTGTGCAGTGATTCCAAAGTGGCTTTATGTGAGCCTGACCAAAGCTCACTGTAATCAGACCCTCAACGGCACTAGGAGGCAGAAGAGACTCTGCATTTCCCTAATCCAGACCAGAAATGAGTTTTCTTATGGATTTAGAAGTCATAATTAAGGCATCTATTGAAAATAAGTAAAGAACTTTCACCACATGTCCAGATTATCCAGTTAGATCTTTCTGTGGAGGGAATGACAGTAGTGTACGTCTCCCCTTTGATCACTAGCCCATGTGAGTGTGGAACAATTCAGCATGACACTGCTAGCCTGTGCTGAATATGTTTCAGGCTTCCTTTCCATAAAACCTTTCTGGATGAGAAACCTATACAGACTTCAGCACATAGAGGACATCAGAACTTACTATTCAGGGGCAGATTTTATCTTGCCAGAGGAGAGTAGATGCATGGGAATTAGCCCAGAAACTAACTTAAATAGAAATTCACTCACTTTCTAGAGGAACACTGATGTTAAAGATTTCTTCCATTGATATTAGAGCATCCTTGGGATTGGAGGAGTTAATATTTTATCTACCTTGATAAATGACATCTGCAGATCTACAGCCCATCTGAAAAATGACTTAACAAAAAGCATTTGAGCTTGAGGTTGCATAATTTGCATCCAAACTATAGATCTGAGAATTCTTCTGCACAGGATGATGAGTTTTAGCCTACAGCCATTAGTTTGCATATACACAGGATGTAGAATGCTTTTTTTTCCCCCTGGGAGCACCAGTGAGCCAGGCAAGAATCATAAATGGATCAAAGTTCATGTTTCAGCACTGAAAGAGGAACACCACTTCCCAGCTAATAAATCTGTGGGTTTGATGTCATTACCTAGTTCCCTACAGTTAAAATTTTTCAAAGAGCCATCAGTAGATTAAGATTTCATTCTGACTTCACTGGCACATCCTCATTGTTCAGTAGGTGCTGATATCAGAGTACCAATCTCTCTGGCCAAGCTCTTTTTCTCTTCTCACCACCCATAGTCCTGTATGAAGAGAACAAATGTAGAGGTTCAGACCAAAAGCTTGTATCTCAATAACCTTTCTCTGACAGTTGCCAATGGGAAATGCCTAGGTTAATCTGCAGCTGATCTTCATCAATGGAAACATTTTCATAGGAAATGATGGATAAATGATGATGCTGCTAGCAAATTGGAGAAGCAACCTAAACCATTTTGTGTCACCATCCTCTTCCTCTCAGAGACTGTTTATTGAATAAGGAAATTTATAATCACAGAGATCAGTGCAAAAACTGAAAATTGGTGTCAGCATCACCATGGAGACAATGAGAGTGTTTGCAAATGAATCATCTAGCTCCCCAAATTAGAGTAGACATACTGTATAAGAATGTACAGTCTGCTTTTTATAAGCTTGTGTAAAGGTAATGTATCTAGAACTTCAGCACCAATGCTAAGTATTGTGTTACTTGTTTCTGTGTTATGACAAGGGAAGTTAATTAAAAAGTGTGGGATCTCTAGGGACATTTTTCTGTCGGTGTGAGAAAAGTGTAAGACAAATTCTCAGCACTTTTTAACTTAGTAGTTGCATCTCCTGCCTTTAGTATTAGATTGCTAGTCTATTTTGTTGGACACCTTTAGGAAGTTAAATGAAATTTATTATCACGATTGATGCTGTGATGTCAATTAGGTGTTAGTCAGACTTAACATTTCTTCAACACCACTTTTAGTGATAGGGTAAATGTTCTCATTTGCCTGGCACTGTCTTCATAAATAAAAAGGTTCTCAGAATTTTATATATTAGATGATGAGGCAGAGAGGTAAGAGGTGCTGAAATGGATGCAGAAATCACATACTCTTGTTGGAATTTTCTTTTAATATTTTTGTTCCTTTAAAACAGATGATCTTTTTTTCCTCTGAGTAAGACTTTACATACGTTTCTCCACATAGCTGCAAGTAGCCTCATCTGCTGTCTTGCATTTCTGTGTGGAACAAATCCACTCTATCTGAAGAGATTTATTACGTATTGCCTGTACAAGGCCAAGGAAAGATGATGTGACAACCCTAGCTGGGGTCATCAGTCTCTTTGCTGCAAATCTGTTCTGCACAGCTTCCCTCTTCTCCAGGCTCATAGAAACCAGAGACCACGAACTGATCACAGAGGCAGACCCAGTGGCTGGTTTCATGTGCAAAAACCATGAGGTCTAAGTAAACAGTCAACAGTCATTCCCCCAGAGCACTTTTTACAGATCTTGTGTCAAATTTTTCCATCTGCTTGAAGCTCCCCATCACACAGGCTTTTCTATGATGCAGTGTGTAGGGGTCAGGAAGTCAGAGCAAGAAGGAAATAATGATGGAAGTGGTAGAATGGTGGGAAAATTTTGTTCTGCATCACTCTGCCATTCAAAGACAAAAGCCTCTGCATGGGAGAATTGCTGCTAAGCCAGGATTCTCAAAGTGTGGTTTTCTTGCTGGATCCCAAAGGATATTTCTTTTTTAATTCCAGAGACCAAATAGTTATTAACTGTGATTGTGGTTTTGGCTTCACTGCTCATTCCCACATCCAGTTTCAGATCTGAGTCTGTTTAGAAAGTCATTTTGAAGCCTGGAAACATGCCTCTGCAAACAGAAGACCAAAGCTTTTAAAACCTTGGAAATCTTGTATGAGAATTGCCTGTCCTGAAGAAATCTGTGTGGTTGAGCTTTTAGCAGGTCCTACTGCATTTCATGTGTGTGCGTATGCCATTTCACAATGCTATTTCCTCCTGTGCTTACAGTGTTCCTTGCCAGGCCCAACAGCAGGATCAGGCATGTTTAACATCCCTCTTTCATTTTTTCCTATATAGAGCAAGCAGTGTAAAGCCATGACACGTTGCATGCATTTGAAAGTATCGGCACTACACTGAGGCTTAAACTCTGATAATCAATTCACATTGTATATTTCTTGCTCTGAATAGATTCTTCTTCCAGACAATTTAAAAATGAAGGAAAAAAATTGCCCAAAACTGCTGTGTTGAATTGCAAGTGAGTCTGAAACGTGCATCAGTTATTGGAGCAAGTTTAACTGCTGGACAGCTTTCAGATCCTTCAGCTGCCACAAGCTGTCACACTTACATGCTTCATGCAACCTGTCGTGCCGAGAAGGCTGTAATCCAACAGCAGCATTGCAAACTTAGGATATTTTCTGGGTTTTCCTCTTCAAGTCTTGGGCCGCTACTTCACCTCTGCTGAGTGCTCAGAGCTCACAGAGAAGAGCTAATTCCTTGTCCCAATGCAGTCTCAGAACTTCTGCCTTAGTTTCTGGATTCTGGTGATCTTTTGTGAAATTATACATGTGTAGTATTGGAAATAGCAACATGCTTAAATTAGCAGCAAAACAAGAAGCCTAAAAAAGCTTGTCAAACTGAGAAACAGTTGGTTTTCTTCCCTCAAGGTAATACATTATTCATAGCACTGTACTAGGATTGAGGGTGCCAGCGACAGTAGAGGCTGTGGATGAATTGAAGATGCTGAGTGTGCAGAAGATTCAACAGTCAGGAGTTTGTCTTCTGCTGCTGTTCATTGTCTTGCATGCTATGTCCTGCTCTTGGTCAGGCTTCTGCTCTTCAAAAGACCTCCACTTTCCTTCTCTTAATGCCCTGTATGTGACAGAGTGAATAATTCCTATTATTGTTCTTATTAACATATATTGTTGACATGTCTACTTACATCTAAAGAATTACGGGTTGAAGGGTGGACCTTACTCTTGCTTAAAGCAGAGACAAAACTGCTGCAGTGACACAGCAGGCACTCACATCCTTAGAGAGGGAGAAGATCACAGTGGAAATTGTCACTGGTGGATTTGGGTGAAGTCAGTGCATTAACTGTCTGTGGCATGTTTTTAGCTTTCCCAAGCACTAAATTTATCTGTGCAGCTAGGAGTTACTCATTAACAATGTTATTAATTTGCAATGCATGAGCAGGCCTAAAGCAAAAATCTGTAAACTGTTTAACCTCATATACAGGATTGATCTTTTGTGGCTTGGCTGTTAATCATGCAAGAAAGCAAGCAAAATAGTGAATCACAGAATTTTAGGGGTTGGAATGGACCTTACAGATCATGCAGTTCCAACTGCCCCTGCCATGGGCAAGGACACCTCCCACTAGACCAGGTTGCTCAAGGCCTCATCCAGCCTGGCTTTGAACACTGTCTGGGCGGG